TTCATATTCAAGAAGTCCCAAGTTTGATTCTCATCCTGAAGGCTTCTTGTCTTGAACAAGATCCTTCCGTGATTTTCCTAAATCCTCCAGGCAAACGCTGAGATAGTTCCTTATACATACCCTAATGACATCCTTGCAGATCCTTCCCAATTTGTAGTTTCCATTCGACTTTGAATTCAACACTATATGTACTATAGTAGCACTATATGTACACTTACTGCTTTGTATTTTGGATAAAATTGTCTCTTGTATTATTTAGCCTTAACTAAGCAGACTGTTAATTTTCCATACCACCTAGGACTAGGCTTTGAAATAAGATGGCTGATGCAAGCATTGTTTTATGGTTTGCACATATTGGCAATGGCGGATGTTCACACCAGTCCATGCCCTCAGTCGATGAATGATGTCAATGCTGCGACCTTGATGGATGGCCAGCAATTGACACGTGCAGGCACCTGCATTAGAAATTACCAGCATACTGAGGGACAGTCCTGGTGTTGTCAGTCTGATAGGTTTTGTTCAGTTCGAGCTCCGAAATTGGGATTTTATGGATAAATTAAATTTAATAAATACATATTTTAGACTACAGAGTGTTTGTTTATTTGTGTTTTATAATAAATTGGAATGAATAAATAATGTGTCTTTAGCTGTGACAGTTATTCGGGCAAAGTCCTTGTAGCTCATGGCTAGAATGTTTGCATGTATGTATCTTAGAAAAATTAACCACTGAAAGTCTGCAACGTTTAGAAACATCAGTATATTTTTTGCGCACAAAATCAGGATGACCATTTACTAACTCTAAAATAGGAGAAAAGGCACAGTCTTTTATTTGTGTACATGTAATTTATCATGGACACTGTATGAATATAAGAACATTTTTAAAGTATGCCAGAAGATCAAAGAAAAGTGGGGATAGTTGAGAATGAAATGCTGAAATATGTAGATCATGGTTTCTGGGCGCTGAAAGTTAAGTGATGGAGGCTAAACATAAATAACCGAGAACAGGCATCTCACATGCAGTATGCGAAGGTTTGTCATGTCACGGAAGCATTGGAAGCTGCTATCTATATACCTGTGTTTGGCGATTGTAGCACAGTGGCTACACTCATGCGTTACGTGTCTTTCTTATGAGAATTTGTAACAATGTAGTCAGTAATTAGTATCAGGAGATATCCTGTTCACACGTGATATGAAATTTTGTCATAAAGTGGAACAATTTTAGCAAGATAAAAGACACCCAGTGATGGCGGTATACAGCCGAATCCTGTAGTGTGGAAGAAGGTTGACTATGTAATATGTTGCATTTAAGATGGAAATGCACGTTAAATAAATGAGAAATTAATTCAGTTGGATGCTTAAATTACTATATATATTACATACTTCCAAGAGAAGTACTAAGAAGACCGATGAAAATCAATGACAACACTCAAATCGATAGCTGTGCTAATACTACCTTACTCGCCGATGGACACCAATGATCAACGACGTTGATTTTAAAAAATCTTTTCCCAGCCAAGAAATAGAATAAATAAACTGAAATAAATAAAAGTGTGTGTTATCAGATCTACAGGAAAATACATATAGAAAAATAAATAGAAGTGTATATTATCAGAGCTACACAAACTAATGTTCACGACCAGTGGGGGTCGAATGAGTTAACCTAGATGTAGCGTTCTTGAGTAGTAGGCTATAGTGAAAGGGGAAATATACAGCCATGACATGACCGCAAGAAGGGCAACTTAAACACCAAAGTTGAAGGCAGTATGTATATCTGAAACGTTAGTATGCTCCTAAGAGACCAAGAAACGTGATTCCTCAAACTTCATTGTTGATGCTGGTAGCATTAATTTTTCCCCGAAGTATAGATATCCCCTAAGATGAAAGAATTGTAGCCCTACCACAGATCTGTGCAACAATAAAGTGTGCTCAAGACTTTGATTAGTTTATGCAGAAGCCATTATAGGTAGCAGCCAGGCTGACAAAAATTTCTCAGTTCACTGTTGGATAATGTTCCCTGAACTTTGGGCTTTTAGTTACCTGATTACTTCACAACGCTAAACAGCAGTTGTTCTTCTCCATCATTACATTTAGCAGCAATAGTATCAGAGGGATCACAGCTCTCAATTCCTAAGACCTTTATCCTACACCCACAAGCACAAGATTTCTGATTCGAATGAGTTGAACCAACTAGCTAGCCAATTAACCAGGGTATTGTACCGATCTGCTTCGCAATTGGGTGATGAATCAACCAATGAATGCGACTACCATGTAGCAAAACTATATGAAATATACTACCGTAATTTCGTTTTGTTCTATAAATACATATCATGAGGTCTGGTTTTGGCATCCAAGGCCATCCGTGAGCAGCGAAGTTCCTAGCTGTGTTTTGTCATGACCAATGAAGGACATACTCATATTTACTTCAAACCAAATCAGAACAAAGTTTTATGAGATCTGGAATTTGGCACTGAAAATGAATGTTTGTGCTTCTCTCGATTCTGTGGTAAATGAGAATTGAGAGAATCAAACCCGAAGGTTCATTACCATGTTGACGAGAGCCCTCCACTGGTCCCTATCCTGATCCAGATCAATCTGGTCAATATCATCCCAACCTATCTCTGTAAGATCCATTTCAATATTATCCACCCACCTATGCCTTGGTCTTCCCAGTGGTTTCTTTCCTTCTGGCTTTCCCACCAATTTCCTATACGCATTCCTCATCTCCCCCATTCGTGCTACATGCACTGCCCACCTCATCCTCCTTGATCTTATATCAATAGCTGAATATAAAGGTTGCAGTAGTGCTCAAGTGACTCACAGCGGCTACTTGTCCAATCATAGAGATACCACATCATAGCACCTAGTGTCAGATTTGTGGCGCAATTAGTTTTATTTGAGTGAAGCCTGATAGTAGTAGGAAGAAGAGGAAGACAGTTTTATTAGAAGTTTTCACGATTTAAGAAGCGTGAGAGAAAGGAAGGATATATATTACATGCTTTGTCTTGCATTGATGTATTAGGATGTGATTTTGTGTGCATGCATTCTGTTGTTTGAAGCCACGCGTGCATTCAGTCTGTAGAGCATGTGTTAAATATAACGGTGTTGACAATTATGTGGAGGATGAACACCAAATAATTTTAGATTTCATAATTGCTAGGGTAGTAAATAACAGTTTGACCTACTTTACAGTAATACACTTCAGGTGTTGGGCACTAAAATTTATGAATGCCCTGATACACATTACGGTTGCCATCCCAGGCCCACAAACATATTGTCACGTTTTGGGTGTATAACGCGACAAATAACCTCATGCCGTTGTTTGGTATAGCGAATTTTTTCTGTTCGCTTTACACACACTTTACAAACATTTGCACTTGCAGTGTTACAATTACAGCTTACAATATTCCGGCTGACACTGGACTCTTTTCTCTGGCGGTTATTCTACGACTGACTTCTAAGATGGCTCGATCACGACTGACTTCTTAGCTGGCTATTCCAAGACTGAAGACTTCTCGTAGAAGCTGGGCTATTTATAACCTCGGCCGCTGCTAGGGAAATGAATCCTTATGTTATAGCAGTGGAAACGTTGCTTTGTCGGTTCCGTGTTTCCTACGCAATGACCCATTGTTATTGCGTTGTCTCTGTGGGAACGCTTTGCGTATTCGTCGTAACCGTGGAGATTCCTGTTAGAACTACAATGGAGCGATTGTTGTTTCTTATGCGACGGTCTCTTCTAGTGTTTCCATAGAAGCGACTCCTCTGGATTCCAGACACGTTACAATATCACCAGTTGATCATTCATAAAATGCAAACATAAATAACGAGGTATAGAGTGGCTCTCATCAAACAAATATTTTGCACTTTATAAATGGAAGCTGTGGTGTAGATGTACATCTGTTGCTCCTGCCAGGAATCGAATCTTGACTGTGAAGTCTGTAGCCAGTAGCTGACCCAACCCCTACTGTTGGAAATTATACACGGAAATTGATCGCTACATTGTGTAATCATTATTTGTATCTCTGTTAGTCTCACGATATAGATTGAAGCATTTGAAGGAAAATGAGTATTTCAAGTTGTGACCAGGCAGTTCTTCTCAAGGCTATACAGTGTGTGTTCAACTAGTATAGGTGACATAAAGAAGCTTCGTTTTCATTTGTTGTGTAATGCGGTAAACCCCTTTACACTTAGAAAAACCAGTATATGTTAATGCTGTAACATGTAATCCATCTATGTATATGTGTAACCGACAGATCAGGTTATGACTTTAAGATAAATGAAAGAACAATTACAACTGACCATATTTGCACACTGATGTGACGGAATATGTCCATCTTGCTCAAAGCCCAAATCGAGACTGCTTAATGTCACAGAAATTAAGTCAAAGCATCCCTCTTTGTTGCTTTGAAAAGAAAGGTTTCAAATTTACAGCTTCTAATTGGCTATTGGCAGTGAGGTGCACATAATTGTTGACTGCATAAGCAGCAATCCCTTTAGAATTGGGGCACTATCCTCTTTACTGTTCATGGTGCGTACTGGGCTGCTTGAGGATCTGCCTCCTTGCACCTCAGAGATCCAAAGAAAACCAGGAGCTCCCTCATAGTGTGGGTGAAAGCTCTAAGTTGGCAAAAGGAAAGCAGAAGGATGTACAATTCCTTAGAAATCAGAAGCTCGGGGGTGAAAATGTTGTCTTTACAGAGAAGATCCAGAGTGAAACAGATGACTAGATTTAGTCTCCACTAGCTTAGGGAAACAAATGTGGGTATGATTCCTGGACTTTTACAGCTACACTGTTCCTTTCACAGCAGTAACCTAGTTTGGTACAGGCCACCAACCCAAAGGCGATAGATACTTTATCAGAGATACCTCTGTACATTGGTGATACAGTGTAATGTGGTTTTATTCAAACAAAATGGAAGTTTGTGCTAAATCACAGTTCAGGTCTAGCAGTATTAAAGTGAATGTGTTAATTAAGCATTCTTTCCTTTTCAAATTAAAGCATAATGCAGCTGCTTGTACAAGGACAGGGGAGTCACGTTATTGACTGTGAAGGCAGTGAGTCTGTTGGGCAGATCAGAGTAAGTGAATTACTTTGCTTTTACTTTTAACTGGATCAGTGGTTGATGTGCTCTCCTCAAAGTGCAGTTTTGAACGCTCGATTTCACAGAGTTTACAAATATAAAAATGCAAGAAAGTTCATGTGATGTTAGGCATTTATGATTTCTCAGGTTCTGTTGGGTTTGTTGGGATGCAGTTTGTAGGGGATCATTTTTGGTGCATTTAGAGTGAGGAGTTGCAGAATTCTCCTGTCAGCTTTGACATTCATGTTCATTCACATGTAAACCTGTGAAGAGATGAGCAGATTTTCATAAAAGTAATGTTGGGGAGTTTTACTAAAATTTGTCAGCTAAACTGCTTTATGTTTGTATTAATTAATGGCTATAGTTGACTGAACTGGACGCATTGAGCCAGTTTGATCCAAGCAGAAAGACTGACTTTCCTTTTTTGTGGTTTCCTTGGTTCCTGGGATACTACCATAAATTGGTGTATGACCACTTCCTTGTACATGCTCTCCAGTTCATTACTTTCTTTCATCCAGTGATTTAGCACTGTGTGGTCAAAGTTATTTACGGCATTAATAAATAAACTGCAAGGATGGACTACCACAGAATTTTGGAGGAAAGCGTTTTAAGTACCTACCAAAAGTGCGCATTCGTGTCTGAGGTGTTCTTGATGGATTTCTACAGTTCCTGTAGGCAGATGATGCCTTTAGGCTCATAATTATACAGTGTGATCACAGGAGATCTTACGAATCATTCCACTGCTGAGGCAGAAAAGCCACACACTTAGCTGATCAAGTTGACATACAGATATTTCGTTTTGTAACAATACCATAAAAGCAAGAGTGTGTATATAGTGAAAGTCGCTTTTTTATTTTATCCAAATAAATCATTGAACAGCTGCTGTGAAGTAAGCAATGCAGTTATATGCAAAATCACTCATAAATCCTGGGCCTCATGTTACTGTAGCTACTGCATCTGACCTGTACAATAAGCAGAGATTCACTTGATCTTGTTATTTCCTATGTCAAAATGCCATGTGTGAGTTAGGCTTTGGAGTGAGAAGTGTTCGCGTTTGATACCTGAGTGAAAAGTGGTTGTATAAAGGGAGGATTTTAGCATAATTTTCATGTTGTTATAGCTGTGTAGAGTAGAACTCTTCATGCAGTTGTTAATGAGTTAGGACCGAGAAAGAAATAGTTGGGTCCCCAGAAAAGAAAGAAAATTGTGAGAACTCACAGAAGAGAAATTGGATAAAATCAGTGCTGGGCTTGAACATTCTTCTCAAAATTTTCATGGACATCTTGCATAGGAACTGGGTTTCATGTTTAGGTTTTGAAGTTGGAAGCTTCTCCATTTGTGCATGAATATGAATTGTTGTGCTGGTTTTCAAGAGTGTGGAGCAGTTCTGGTTTCTGCTGCTGACCCATGGGCTTGTCAGTTGTGCTCTCAGTCCAAGTATTGGTGGCCTGGGTAGGCTGGATCAGCGTCTTTGTTCCACCAGAGTGGTTTGGTGATGAGCAGCAGGCTCTGAGATGATTGCAGAGGATGAACATGCTTCACAGCGAGAGGCTGTTTCCTGCCTTGTCATTTCTGATTCATCATTCACAGTTGTGCCATCATGCTTATAGTTGATACAGCACTGAAGAACACGAGTAATTAATCTCAACCAATTCCCCCCCCCCTTTTATTTTTGCTCCCTAAATTTAGATTTCAAATCAGTCCCCCCACCAGATGTGGTGGTGTTTAAAATTTTCTGTTGGCCTTTGCAGAAGCAAGTAGCTAAGTTGGAGAACATTCCAGTGGAAGAAGTTCACCTCTGAATGAGGATGATCTTGTAGCCAACCTGCAATGCTTAAGCATCGTCGTCAGTGTTTCTCTG